TGTTCTCATTCTTGTTCTCAGGAATAAGGAGGAGGAGGGAAAAAAAAAAAAAAAAAAACCACACAACACAGAGATCACCGGCTTCTTCTTGGACAAGTTCGTCTGGGCGGCGACTTGCTGAGAACGGTCGTTGTGAGGGAACGACCGGTCGGTCATAAAGATACACACGCTGGGCAGCAGATTCCATTAGGAGTGCGAGAGGAGGGCAAGCAATCCACAAGAGCAAGTCCGTGAACTTTCCAAGAACTGTCAGTGAAACATCGCTGGAAGTATCGATGAACAATCCGAGGTAACAATGGCGATGATGATTACACTGACACTGACACTGACACTTCCGTGAACTTTCCGAGACGAAGAAGATGCACATGGACATGATCCGCTCCGTTTCCTCAACTTTCAATGACACTTCCGTGAACTTTCAATGAACGTTCCGTGAAACATCAGTCAGCACCACTCCTCTTGGTTACGGGGGGCTGGATGTCAGCTTCCATCTGCATTTCTTGCTGAGCACATGCACACACATATATAGCTAATAAAACCACAACGTGTTTAAACACTCCCGCTGCCCTCCCGCTGCCACGTCCCTCAATCATCCTCAGCTGCAGACCGCCGCTGCCACGTCACTCAATCATCCTCAGCTCCAGACCGACCCTCCACCGAAAACTCAATCCGAGACTAAAAAAAGCCCACTCGAATCCTCAGAGTGTCCTTTTCCTAGCTGCTGCCGCTCTTTAACCGCCGATCTTTAACCGCCGATCTTTAACCCTAAACCTTTAAACCGACCCCTAAAGCCCGCTGGGAGCCTCCGAGAGGCATTTTTCTACCTGCCGCCCCGATTAACTACGTCATCTCCCCCCCCCACCCCCCCTCCTCCTTCCCCCCCTTAACGACCGATTCGACTACGATCTTCCTCCCAATACAACTCGCCGTCATTTGGACTATAGATGGAACAGGAAAAGCTATAAGCTTGCAGACATCCGTAATCAGGGTGCTACAACGTTGTATACACTTCCCAATCATAATCAAAGGATGATAATCCGACGTGTACAAATCGGCGCCTCAATCAAACCCATCACAACCGCAAGAACCTCACATCTTACCTACCCATCAGAATTGCTGCTGCTGCCTCTGCTAGGGAACGACTTGTTGCTGCAATCAAAGGATGATAATCCGACGATGACTTTAAAAGTAATCAACGATTGATTGATTGATTGATTGATTGATTGATTGATTGATTGGATGCTAATTAGCGATTGATGCAATTGGATTCTACTCACGCGCGGGGAGAGGTCGGGGAAGTTTCATCTCGCACGCGGACGACCAAAGCAGGAAGGCAGCGACCAACGAAACCGACCAAGGAGCCACGTGGACGACCAGTGTCTCTGCCTGCTTTGGTCGGTCGCCGCCTTTCCTGTGCGATTTCGTCGGTCGCCGCCTTCCCCCAAGCCTTCCTCCTTCTAGCGCGGCGAAGTTTCGGCGAAGGATGATTGCCCGCCCGGCACAACAAACAAACTCTCGATTACAAAACAAAAGTAGGAGGTCGTGGAGATGGAGAGATGGTCGGGCGAAGTGCCGGCGAAGTTTCGGCGAAGTTTCGGCGAAGTGTCGGCGAGCAGACAGACCACCTACGAGACGACAGGGCATCGTTCTTTCCCCGTTTGTTTCTTATTTATTGATAAATTAACCAAAAAAAAAAAAAAAAAAAAAAAAAAAAAAAAAAAAGGAGCCAACAAGCAAATCCAACGACCGTGACCTGACCGTGTTAGATACGTTATTGCTGTATATTTCCAATTCAGGAAATCACCGTCTTCAGCGCAGTGAAGTCGTCATCTAATCTAGAAAGTGCCTCACGGATGATGTCCTACTGACCTCAGGAACCTTTCTCAAACTAACGGCCAGTAATGTAATTACTGTCAGGTACATCCGGTGAAAGTCGCCCGTAAACTTCATCTAAGAAAGTGCCTCAAGGATGATGTACTACTGACCCCATGAACCATTCCAAACTGATCTCTCTGGACGCAGTTGCGGTCAGGTACATGATGACGGGCAGTAATGTAATTACTGTCAGGTACATCCAGTGCAAGTCGCCCGTAAATTTCGTCGAAGTATCGGCGAAAAGAAGGCCAAGTTTCGGCGAAGTGTCGGCGAGAGACGGCCACGTGATCGAGAGGGAGAGGGCGCCGACAACACAACCACCGACCGGCTGGTGGACATAGTTTTAAGGAACTGGGGCGCGAGGTCCCGCTAACAAAGAGAGAGGATTACCAAGCTCCTGAATCTAGACGTGTTCAAAGCAGAGATGCAGAAAAGAAGTTCAATCTTGACCTTCTGCACCTTTCCACAAACCCGTCCAGATCCAGGCGTTCCATCCAATCCTCTTTGCGAGTAAGAGACCTCACCACAGGTCATCACATCGTCCCCCTACTCGTCGAAAATTTGACAGTCTATTGGCAGGAAAAATAAAAACGACAAACAAAAAAAAAGAAAACTAAAATGACAACAAGATTATGATTCCCTCACCTAAACAAGGGGGAAGATGAGTATGCTTCCAGATTACCTTCTTCTTCTTCTTCTTCTTCTTCTTCTTCTTCTTCTTCTTCTTTTTCTTCTTCTTCTTTCCGTCCTTCTCCGCGAATTTCCCCCCCCCCTCCCCATCTTTTATGCTTCTTCCCCCACGTCTTTCATTCTCGTTTCTGTCGTCTCCCTGAACTTTCAGGGAAAAGTCATGGCAAGTTCGTCCGTTCCACCCCGCGGGAGAGGAAACCTACACGAACCGAACCGCCATCACGTACAGGTTCAAAATAATAATGCCGTTATTGACTGACGTTGCTTCAGCCGCCCGCATTTCCCCTTTCGGAAATGTCTGCATTAAACAACAATTATTCTCTCTCTCTCTCTCTCTCTCTCTCTCTCTCTCTCTCTCTCTCTCTGTGTGTGTGTGTGTGTGATAATGTCTGATTCTCCCTCGTTGGGCTCTCTCTCTACCGATTACTCGCAGACTCTCTTCTCTCTCTGTGTGTGTGTGTGAGTGTGTGTGTGATAATGTCTGATTCTCCCTCGTTGGGCTCTCTCTCTACCGATTACTCTCAGACTCTCTCTCTCTCTCACCCTCTCTCTCTCTCTCTAAAGAAAGTAGAGCAAAAGCCAATCTAGACCGTCCGTCGGACTGAAGATGAGGAAGAGAGAAAGAGCCAGAGTCTGCGAGGGAGAGCATAATAATCTTCGCTCTCGATCTCTCTCAAAGACGAGCAATGCACTTCAGCAGGAGACAACGAAGGAAAAAAGGCAGAGACGATGAAGAAGAGAACGAAGAAGACAAGGAAGAAGAGGAAGAGAGAGAAGGAAGAGAGAAAAGGAAGACAAACGCGAGAGAAAAGCGAACACGCTAGAGACGTAATTGGAGCCAGATACGTACAGCAAAGTCCTAGTATGACTACGCCCTCAAACAACCGAAATGTGGCTCAGACAGACAGAGAGAGAAAGATGGGAAGAGATCAGCACCCCGCTTCACCGCTTCACGACTTCATGGCGTTAACATTAACAGCTGACGGCCACGAAAAATATCGATAACAGAAACAACATGACAAGGCGGCGCTGTGGCTCAGAGAGAGAGAGAGAGAGAGAGAGAGAGAGAGAGAGAGAGAGAGAGAGAGCAAGTGAATGTGATGTCATGAGAGAGAAAGAGAAAGAGAGAGAGAGAGAAAGAGAAAGAGAACTAGGGGAGTGGAGTCCCGGTACGGTAGGCAAGAGAGAGAGAATGTCCATGTCATCAAATACTTAAAGAGGGTGCGTGTGGGGAGGGGGGAAAGAGCCGGGGGGGGGAAAGNTCAAATAAAACTGAAAACTTTAGAATTAAACGAACATTGGAATGATCATTGTTAAATATGAAGGATTCTTTTTTATCGAATGTTTTTTCAACTTTCATTTCTCATGGGATTTTTTCTGTTGAAACCGAACGGGTCGACATAGACATCCCCGCGAAAGTTTATTTTCAACAGAGCATATCTTGTAATGACGTCCCTTGTCTTTGCCCTGTCTCTTATACACATCTAGATGTGTATAAGAGACAGTCTTTGAACACCCGGAGATTAGATCGGAAGGGAATTAAAAAAAAAAAAAAAAAAAAAGGAGAGAGACGAATGGAGGATGAAGAACCGGACGCTCGTTACACAGACATGGGACGACCAAGGAATTCGTAAGCGACACAGAATTTCACAGCCACACAAGCTTTGTGCATTCTGACAACGAGGGACAGGAGGAGGAAGAGGAGGAAGAGGAGGAGGAAAAGGAGACAAAGAAGGGAATGCAGAGAACTCAAGGTGATTACAAGTGGTCAATGGATGAAAGATAAAGAAGGGATTGCCTTTCATATGACAAAGGATGAAAGATAAAGAAGGGGGATTGCCTTTCTTATGAGATTTGACGACAGCCGAAGAAGGGTTCCAGCTGGCACGCTGGTAAATTCGGACACGGCGGATAGAAGGGAGAGGAGGAGAGGAGGAGAGGAGGAGAGGAGGAGAGGAGGAGAGGAGAAAGAAGAGGCGAGGTGAGGAGAGGAGAGGAGAAGAGAAGAGGAAAGAAGAGAGGAGGAGAAGAGAGAAGAGGAGAGAAGAGGAGAGAAGAGGGAAGAGAAGGGGAAAGAGGGCGCGAGGGTATATACGGACAGGAGGGAGGAGGAGAGGAGAGAAGGGCGTGCTCGTACGTTCAGAGACGGAGGAAGAGGAAGAAGAGGAGGGGGAAGAGGAGGGAGAGGAGGGGAAGAGGAGGGAGAGGAGGAGGGAGAGGAGGAGGGAGAGGAGGAGGGAGAGGGGGAAGAGGAGGACGAGGAGGAAGAGGATTCTTAGGAGCTGAAGAAGGTAGGCCCGGCAGGAAGGATGAACAGCAATGACCTTCCTCATTATACATTCAACACCCTAAAACAGACAGATGATGCCCGAACCAACCACCTTAATCGCCTCTTTCAGGGAAACTGAACCTAATACCGAAGTAACAGACTTTCTCTCGAGCCAGACCATTCATTAATCGCGCCGAGCCTATCACCGACACGATTGACATTTCTGAAGATGGGGGGTACACCCTTTGACCGTGTTACCAACACCAAAGCAAAAGCCGTTATATTGTTATATTACAGCGAATCATTATCGACCAATCGGAACCAAGTCAATCGGATAAACGCCAGTCGAACTAAAAGACTAATCAATCGCGCTGCCGCATGATAAAAGAGCTGACTAATCATCAGGATGACGATCACCACCAATCATATCACAGAGATAGGGAGAGAGAAAGAGAGAGAGAGGGAGAGAGAAAGAGAGAGAGAGAGAGAGAGCATCATCATCCTAATCAGTTGCCGAATCAAACAGAACCAACCAATCAAGGAAGAGGAGCACAAGAGAGAAAAGAAGTCACTCCCCACCACCTCGACTCGATCAGAGACCTCCTGCGACGGAGGGCAGACGCGCTGTCATTTCCAGCAGCACGAGCGCAACGGCATAGAACGCGACTGCGACACCGACTCCAATCCCCAGATTCTTCATCAGCCGCCAGTTGTCCTTCGCCGGCACGAACGCCGTTTTTAGGGTATTGGTCAGATCAAAGAGTCTTCTGGAGACGACGATGTACACGATCGTCGCCAGCATGAAGTTCAATAAAGGGTACTTCGTCTCTTCGAGATGGTCATCGCCATAGCCTTGTCCTCTGCTGAAGTAGTTGAGCAAGAACTTAGGCTGACCGTTGGGCAAAGCGCTGCGCAGCCAGATGTGGAACTGCCCTATGTAAGTCTCCAAGGTGATCTTCCCTAGCCATCCAAACAGATCGACGGAGTGCGTTCTAAACGAGGGAGTGATGTTTCGTATCGTAATATACGCAGTGATCGGGATCCAGGAGGTGTAGGGGTGATACCGATTATACGAGAGTTTGTCGAGGCAGTAGACGTACTTGTACCACGCCGAAGCCACCGCAACGGCGGCGGCGGTTATCGCCGCTTTCACGATGGCTCTCCGTTTGACCTCCACCTCCTCTAGCCTCTCCATCCATCGCTCCACGTTGGGATGGAAGTAGGCGTACAGCATTCCCACGATCCAGATGTAGCGATCGAGTCCTGAGCGGAAATGCCATTCGTGCAGCAGAGGCAGAGACGGCTTCCTCGGGTCTTGGTACTTCACCAAAAACGTGAAAGGCCACCAAATCACTTCGAAAACCCCCGGTATCTCCCACATCACGACGACCGCCAGCGTTGTCGTCAACATCTTTACCGCCATGACCGCCGGGATTTCGTTGTACTTGTGCAACACGCCCAAGGTCCCGTAGACCATCAGCGTGAAGAGAGTGTGCATCGGACAGATGTAGTACAGCATGTAGTCGTTGTTGAGCACGATACAGCAGAGCAGGACGAGAAAGTTCAGCCGCCACATCATTTGACAAAATCGCCCCAGGCTGAAATCTTTCCTAACGTAGTAATAAGAAAAATTTCCAAATCCGGTCATCCACACGTAACAGGCAATGAACACGCGGATGGCATTGTAGTACTCCACCGCGTTGAAGTAATGATACATGACAAACAGCACCTGCATCCAGCCCTTCCACTCCTCCGTTTGGTGCCGATTAAGGTAGAGCATGGACTTGCTGTTGTTGTTGTTGTTGTTGGCGGCGGCGGCGGCGGGCGGCGCCACGTGTCTGGTCAGCGAGGTTCCCCCCGCCACCAGTATCAGCACGCCGTAGATGAACAGGAACAGATCCCGATTGTAGCTCTTCTTGTACTGCCCGAAGAGCGAAGTGCGGTCGCAGAGATAGTAATACACCATAAGCGCGCCGCATTCCGCCGCGGCGCGCAGTGTCAATCTGTGCTCGAGAAGAGACGAAGGGTATCCCGACCCAAAGACTGACATCCGACGCAGCTGCGCGCCGGCAGACGACCAAAATCGGAGGCGGGAAGAAGGATGGTGATTGTGATGATGGGCATTGGAAAGAGAACCAAGCACAAAATCGGAGACAGGAGAAAGAGCGGAAGAGGAGGAGGAGGGAGCGCGGGGACTCGAGAGAGAAGAAGGGGAGGAAACCACCCCCCCTCCCCCTATCCCAACACCACCCCCAATGGCGGAGCCTCCGCCGCTGCTCATGGAGCCGAGCGCAGAAACAGACGTCGCGTACGGATAACCAGAATGGAGCGGGGGATGGCGCGGAGAGCGGGAGCGGGGGAGGTCGTCACCAACCCCCAAGTGAACAGCGGAGGAAGACATCATCACAATGTCTCTGTCCTCCCTCATTGGAATGTTTCCATTGCCCATGGCAATCATTTCATCACCTAGACTATTACCACCACCACCACCACCTCCTCCTCCTCCTCCTCCTCCTCCTCCTCCTCCACGTCCTCCCTCTTCAACTCTAACTGACAAATGATGATGATGCAGCAGAGGTTCGTCTTCCAACTTGCGCCCTCCTCCTCCTCCTCCCCCTCCCCCTACCCCTCCTCCCCCTCCGTCTACAAAAGCAGCATGGAAGGATTTCCCATAAC